TCCCTCCATTTCCCGAGGGACGAAAATGAAAGAGAAATAAATTAAATTGGAGGCGAATTCAAGTCATTCCTATTTCTGTGTGCTTGGTCTGTGTTGAAAAAAAAAATCATCTCTATCTCCAACCCAGACTTGACAAGTAGAGCCACGCACTGAAAAACGAGGCATAGAATAAATCATAAAGACTAGCCTCGCGTAAAGACTTCAGGAAGGAACACACAGTTAAACTGAAAACTGTTAACTGGTGTTTAAGAAGAAAACACAACAAACAGCCCGGAAATGTTTTCAGGAGTTTGCCCATCAAAGTCCCTCGGGGCCCGATTTGTCCTTCCACACCTGCTTTTACTAAAAACCAACAGCCCAATACCAGAGCTTTGTGAGTCAGAAGCTGAGCGAAACCGGACACAGGGGTACTGAACTGTGAGGCACAGCACCCAGAGAGCAAGCGGTAACCATGCCAGGACCGGCCGGGCCCTGTGGCCATGAGGGTGGGCCACGGGGAAGCTGAACCAACAGCAGATGGGCGTCCCACATGACCCCTTTGGGGGTCGAACGACCCTTTCACAGGGGTCGCCTAAGACCATCGCAAAACACATATATAATTACATATTGTTTTTGTGATTAATCACTATGCTTTAATTATGTTCAATTTGTAACAATGAAATGGGGGGTCACCACAACTTGAGGAACTGTATTACAGGGTCTTGGCATTAGGAAGGTTGAGAACCACTGGACTAGATGGAACTGTTCCGGGTGGGCCCCGCCCCCCTGGGTGACAAAGGGGCGGGACACCACACTCACAGTGCAGAGGATGACCCCTGGCCCCGCATCCCCTCTGCAACATCCTGGTAATATTTCTGGTTCCGTTGTTATTGTTGTTTTTGTAAACAAACTGAAAATTGACAAACTACCTCAAAATCCAACATGTGTGGTTTACACCAACCCCTACGTTAAAAATAAATAAGTCACGCGGGACAGAAAAGAGGAAAACTCTGGTCAAGCTCCACACTCACCCCTGGCTGGTGGCTGGCATTCTTGTCTCCAGGAGAAGGGAGTCCATTTTCTCCGCTCCCTGCTGTCCAGCCCCAGGTCAGCCTGCAATGCAGGGAAGTCCAGGGCGTGCTGCCATCTGCAGGCAAAACAAGAAAAAGCACAAGTTATGGCTCAAGCTGCCCACCTGAAGCCCTTGCCGGGAGCTTCCTCTCGCCAGAGCCAGGAGAAGTCACTCAGTTCTGCATTTGGGAGCCCACCTCAGAGCTGCAACAGACACACTAACAATTCTAAGCAACTAGGAGATCAAGTATTTTTTACCAGCAGCAAAGTCTTACACCGTGTGCCAAATGCTGTTCTCAATGGTTTGCATTTATTAACTCACTGAATTATGACAAAAACAGGCGAATATTTTAGATCTCTGCCAATCTGCCAAATTCTTGAGCTAAACTGAATAATTAAAACGAAGACCTTGATAAAACCATCTTCTGGGATAGAGTCCGGGCATCCCGCAGATGAGTCATCCCCTACATTTTTGACGAGTGCCTGTCTTGGCCCAGGCACGACTCTGGGACCTGGGAGTAGAGGCATGGACGCAAACACAAAGCCCCTGCTCTCACAGAGCTTCCATTCTGGTGGAGGGAGGCGACAGAAGAGGTGACAAATGCTGTGCAGATGACAAAGCAGGATAAAGCGGATAGAGAATGATGACATTCATTCAATTATTCATTCGTTCCCACATTTCCCCAGTACTTACTAACCACCTACCACAGTCACGCACTGGGCTGGGATGCAGTGATGGGCCCAAAACAGACACAGCCCCAGCTCGCCTGGCATACTTATCACATAGGAGAAGCACATACGAATCAAACAATCTCCTAGATAAATGCAAAGCTGTTAACCTGTGGTAAGTGTGATAGGGGGATGGCACAGGTCCCTGCGAGAGCATCCCAGGGAGGCCTGACCTTGTCGGAAGCCTCGGGAAGGCCTGGGATGGAGTGCGGGGAGAAGCATTCTTGGCAAAAAGCACACGATGTACAAAGGCTGGACCATGAATAGCAAGCTAGAGGCGGAGTGGGAGAGAGGAAGCAGGGGCAGGTGGAGAGGGGTTTGGGCAGTTCTTGCATGGCACTGGCAGCGGTGAGAGGTCCTTATCACCTGAGAACTGGAGCACCACAAGGGGCCCGCGGAGAATAATGTGGCGGGATGTGAGTCTTTTTAAAAGATTCGCTCTGAGGCTGGCTGGATAATGGCTCCACCAAAGATGTTGATGCCTGAATCCCTGGAAGCTGTGCATATGTTCCCTTACAAAGGGACTTGGCAGATGTGACTAAGTTTGGCATCTTGAGATGGGAGGATTATCCGGGAGTGTCCAGGTGAGCCCAGTGTCACTACAAGGGTCTTCATTAAGAGGGAGGCAGGGGGAGAGGTGATTACAGAGGAGGAGTGCCAGTGTGATGCCATGTGAAAAAGACTAGTGGGTTTAAAAGATGAGGAAGGCCCTAACCGGTTTGGCTCAGTGGATAGAGCATCGGCCTGCGGACTGAAGGGTACTAGGTTCGATTCCGGTCAAGGGCATGTACCTTAGTTGCAGGCACATCCCCAGTGTGGGGTGTGCAGGAGGCACCTGATCGATGGATGATTCTTTCTCGTCGATGTTTCTAACTCTCTCCCTCTCCCTTCCTAACTGTAAAAAATCAATAAAATATATTTTTAAAAAATAAAAATAAGAGATGAGGAAGTAGCCATAGCCAAAGAATGAAGGAAGCCTCTGGAACAGTGGTTCTCAACCTTCCTAATGCCGTGACCCTTTAATACAGTTCCTCATGTTGTGATGACCCCCAACCATAAAATTATTTTTGTTGCTATTTCATAACTAATTTTGCTACTGTTATGAATCATAATGTAAATATCTGATATGCAGAATGTATTTAGGCAACCCCTGTGAAAGGGTCGTTCGACCCCCAAAGGGGTCGTGACCCACCTGTTGAGACCCGCTGCTCTAGAAGCTGGAAAAGCCTTGATTTGTTACAGCAGCAATAAGAGACTGAGAACACTGTCTTCGGTGAAGAAACACACTAGAAGTAAGGAGAAGGGGAGGCAGGGGCCAGCTGGAGGTCACTGTGTAATCCAGGCAAGCGGTGTGAGCGCCTGAACCACAGCAGTGGCAGTCGGAGTGAAGAGGCGTTGAAGGAGGGGAAGAGTCAACTAGTCAAAGGTCTTGCTGCAACCTGGCAGATGCTACCGAGTCACCATCAGGCTTCTTCCGGGCTCGGGACGCGGCTGGCTTCTCCTGGGCAGAGCCCAGCACGCTCCGTAGACGGAGGAAGCTGTACCCAGCTATAGCTCACTCCTGGACTCCTCTCAGGGACCTGTCAGCCCCATCTCCCAAAGGAGTCCAGGGGTTCCAGACACAAGCTCTAAGAAGTGACAGCCTGGGAACTGCTACTGGGCAAAAGGTAGCAATTGTTTCTGCCAAGCACTAGGCCTTGCAGTGAACATTCTTTTTCTTCCAAACAAAGAGATTTCATAATCTTGGAAATGAGGTGCCCAAATTTAAATACACCCATCTCCAACCCAGGTGATGCATAGCCACAATGATATCCAACATGTGGAAATCTCATGGTCAGTAAAATAATACAGAAACCAAAGAAAGAGAATAAATGAGAAACTAGGAGACCCTCTCTCAGCATTTACCCCACCCCTACGTAGTGACCCGGACCTACTAACGTGGCGTCCTGACTTGGTCCTGCCTAGGTCCTGCCTAATAGGGCTGTTGAGAAGAAAAGGCAATAAAAATGATTCCAGAGCATTTTATATACATTCTCCCTGTTTTACTGCAAAAGTATAAACATATACCCACCAAGTACTTTGAAGTCTACTGAGGGGTGACAAGCAAGTCTTAAAGGCACTGCTCCCCCTATCTCTAACCCCCCCACACCCCAGGTGGCTTTGGGTCAGGCCTCAGGGACCCAGGAGCATGTCAAGACCCAGGAGTGCCTGCAGATTGCAAAATACCAGGTAGTTCAGTTAGGGCTGGAACAGGTTAATTAAAAAGCAGATGTATGTATGTATGTATATATTGTTTTTCTGGTGACAAAAGTGACATATATTTATTATTGAAAAACATAAAGATCTCCTGTAGTCCCAACCATCCAGAGATAATTTATTTGGAAATATTTTCTTTCAATATTTTTTCCAATAATTTTAGTGTGTGTATCTACATATCTATAATTTCTTTTAAAACTTTTCAGGTACTGTGTATATTTTCTTTTGCAACCAGCTTTGTTTTATATAGCAGTATATAATTTTTCTGTGCCATTAAATATACTTTTTAAACAGTTGGCACTATTTCATCATAGAAAGGTATCAACATCACTTAACCAATTCCTTCTTGCTGGAAAACTGAGTGAACGTCATGTAGCAGAAGTCACAGGGAGGAACAGCCCACAGATAAGAACACTCCGTTTAAAGTCTGCCTGAAGCTCTGATTATTCCTTGGGGCCATGTTTCGCACATTTCAGTCATCCATACGTCACCATTACTAGTTCATTGTAATTCTATACCATCTGTAGCATACTTACCATTTCTCTTTAAATCAACTCATTTTCCCTTCAGTAAACGTGTTTTAAAAGCAAACCTTATTTACTATTGTAAATGGAAAAACCGGCATCATAGTCATAAATGAAGGCGACTGGAAAAATAAATACGAAGGAAAACAAATCAGTGTGGTGAAAATACAGTTAAGATACTGCTAGCCTTTTGCTCATTCTTTTATATCATAAGGGAGATGAGGAAAGTGTGGAGGGCTTTTCAAGACGGACTAGCACCAAGCTGAGACGTTTCTCCTTCCCTTGGTCAGAAGATTGAAAAGGGCAATAACTTCTCCCCATGCGAGTCAGGGTTAGACAATGATGTATGTCCCACCTAGAATTACTCTGCACCATCCGAAATGACCCCACGTGGGAATCACGTCTTCGGATAGACCACTGGAAGTAGCATTATTGGGATGAAAGGTATGGACACTTTAAAGAGCTTTTGATAAACACCATCCAAGTTACTGGCACCACTATTTTACTATCAGAGCGCCCATCTCACTTCACCCTCACATAGTAAGGATGATAAACAGCAATGTTAAAATGTTAAGCTTTTTAGTGTAACATATTCAGCAGCTGAATTTTCAAAGCTCTGCTCATACTCCTGCAGCCATTCTCGGACCCTGGGGCAGGGCCATGACATGAATCTTCACCTAGTGGTAAGTCTACACAGCCCGACATTGCACTTTTTAACCCAGTTAAAGGAAACTCAGTAAAATATGAGGAAGTGACTTCAGCACTTGTCAACATTTCAGAACGTGTTTGTGCCAGCAAAGGTCAAGTGAGGATGAGAATAGCATGGACTCTACAGTATGCTTTTGAGAAATCCGAGGCCGGAGAAGCAATACTCGCGAGACACAGATAACTACAAATATTCAGTAAGCCAATGAAAATGCCAAAGGAAACACATACCCTGGTATGATAGGCCATTGTACAAATCGGTTAAAGAGTAATGCAATTGTTAAGAAAAGATTTCAAAAATAGGAAAAGGAAACTGTATTTTGAATCATGAAGAGTTAATAACAATGAGAAGCTTCCAGATTATTTCAATAATTTCTGGGCAGATACCCATGTGTGTATGTGGCTGTGGGAGTAAGGTGGGGGAGGAGAAGATAATTAAAAACATGCTAAAAAGTTTCTTATGTTTGGAAAGACGTTAGAGATTCTGATTAATTTGGGGCATTTAATAGGAAAACATAAATTTGTCTATGCTTAAGAACTGAATGAGGGCTCCTGGTAAAATACAGAATTTAAAGTCACTAAATAAAAAGGAAGGATTGGGGACAAAGACGCCTTGATGAATCCAGAAAAAAACAATCACAAGAAAAAAGGAAGAACCCATAATAAATATATGGCAAAACAAGATGGTAGAAAGGCCACACATATCAGTGATCAAAATAAACATGAATGAATTATATTCCACTATTAAAAAACCAAGATTTTCAATCTAAATGCCCATTAATGGAAAAATTGATATATAATTATGCCATTCCATTGTAATGGGGCGGGGGGAGGGTGTGTGAGCATACCACAGAAAGAGGCCCATGCCTTACATAGTTTAGAAAGTTGTAGAAAAATGTGTAAGTATAGAAAAAAGAGTCCAGGAAAAAACACACCAAATTGGTAACTAAGGTTACCTATAAAGAGTGGGATTATAGAAAATAGGAGTGGCCTTTCCTATCTAACTCTATGAGTGTCTCATTGTTTGCATCTATTACAAGCAGCATGTAACCAGGAAAACAAGGTGAAATGAAATAATAAGTATAAGGGAAGAACCAATTAAATAGAGGATATAGAGGACTAAAAAATAAAGGTGGTTGACAAAACTCAATGTATTTCTTTAAAAATAGACAAATCCCTGGGGAGACTGATCAGGAATATCTGAGAGTGCCCTGGCTGGTGTGGCTCCGTGGCTAGAACATCAGCCTGTGCACCGAAGGGTTGCAGGTTCATCCCCGGCCCCTGTCAGGGCACATGCAGGAGGCAACCAATCAATGTATCTCTCTCACATCGATGTTTCTCTCTCTGTCTCTCTCTCTGTCTCTCTGTCTCTCTCTCTGTCTTTCTCTCTCTCTCTCTCTGTCTCTGTCTCTCTTTCTCCTTTCCTCTCTCTCAAAAACAAATAAAAAATATCCTCATGTGAGGATTTAAAAAAAGTAAGTTAAAGCTATAAAACTCTTAGCCCAGTCAGTATGGCTCAGTGGTTGAG